TTGTAGTTTATCATTGATATAAAAAAACTATACTCGAGTTAGGTAAAAGTAAAAGTTTTTCTTTTTTTATTTGGGTGGGGGGGTGGCCCTCATGGCGAGCAGATGGAAGCCACTCACGGGCTTCATCTGGCCCACGGGCCTTGAATTTGACACGTTTTATAYTCCAATGCTGTGTAAAAACCGGTAACGTTGGAGAGCTCAGGTTCTTGYAAAATAATTTACACAGGGCATTTTAACACTAAACCTATCCTTTAATTTCTTGAAGGGCCAGACCTCTAACAATAAACACATTTTTTCAACTTGCTCCAAGGCTTTCCCATGTAGATCATCTATTTCCTATAGCACTTACWGTACATAAGTATACACAGAAAACCTGTATGACAGCCGACTGTTCCCCTGTTCCCACATCAAATCAACACAGATTTAGAGCTGTCTATCTACTTGTTCTGCCTTCTCCTCTAAGAAAAGCTCACAGAAAATGATCCCTTATTCAACAAAACAAGCTTCTAGAGCTGGAACAACTTTAGGTTAAAGGTCTGACATCGCATCTGTTCACCCAGTATACCAACTTAATAATAGGATTTTTGGTAAAAGAATTTAAAAAATAACATTTTACATTCACAGATTGAAGTAAAGAGTTTGTTTTATCATATATAATTAGAGTCAAATATAAGTTACTATTTAGTTCTTATCAAACTCTTTCTCAACCCAGTAAAGAATTGAATAAATGTCTGACATTTGTACTGTCTTTAGAGCTTTGATTGATGTTTCACGTCATCTCACATATTTCTGCCTTCAGGCAGCTTGGCAGAAAACTTTCAGCATTAAGACTTTTTACTTGGAAATCAAAGTGACATGYTTGAAAAGCTTATTTGTTTTTGTATCTAGAAAATTATTTGGTCGGTTTGTCTTGAAAGTTCAGWTTTTAAGAATCAGAAAATCTAAATATGCCAGCTGACTGTTCCTCTGTTGTCAGATAAAATTACTCCAGATTTAGAGCCATCTGTTTACCTGTTCAGTCCTGCCTTTTTATTCTTTCATTTTATTGCAAAAGGTTTTAACCATTTTGTTTCGGTTACATAACAATTTGTTCTAAGCAGGGAATTGCATTGAGTAAACAAAACTGATCCAAAATAATTTTATACATGCCATTTTTATTACTAATCTTTTGGCATTTTCAATGTATCTAAAACTATAAATGAAACTGTCATTTGGAAATACATGGCTTAATTCAAAAAACCCCGTGTTATAATGTAAAACATTTGGGAAACAGATAAAACAGCTGCGCTTGTTTGACATGTCTTGTACAACATGACAAAAACAGTTTGCAATAGTCTGGAATAAATTAGTTAGATTAATTTAACTCCATTTCACAAGATGTTGTTTAACAGGTGTTAGACAAAAAGGAATAAAGTCAGGTTTATATAAATTGTATGAGTCCAAATATTAAGCATTTTTGTGGAATACAGCCACTTTCAGTGTAGTTGTAATTTAAAGAAACCAATTTATAAAGCGGTTGTCTTGCTATGTGAAGCTTGCATCAAATATCTCATTATTTTATCCCCTGTTCTACGTGTGTGATGGACAGTGGGTCACAGCRGAGCAGGGAAGTTTCTTCTAACAGGAGAAAACCTTCAGTGGAACCAGACTCAAGAAGGGCAACCATCTGTTTCAACCAGCTGGGGCGGTGAGAGGACAGGGCAGAGATTATATTTATAAAGCACTAGATTTATGCTACAGCAATGAAAACTAATTGAATTAAACCCWAATTTATTGACAGCTATAATAGCATATAGATGCACAAAGATTTGGAGAGTAAAAATCGATCCCRGTGCAGCTGCTGCAGACAGAGGTCTGGAGTTGGAGCCGTCTTGGCCCCGCCATGTCTCCAATGCAGAAGTCTGTGCTGTTGGCACAGTTGTCAGCTGTGATTTGACGGCCGTGCCTCAGCTGCTGTGGGCTGGGCCTTTAATGGACGAGAGCGATCCCTGACACCGCACACACACACACACACACACACACACACACACACACAC